AATGTCTCATGACTGGAGTATTTATATTAACTATTACTTGTTTGAAACCCTAAACACTTTCTATTGGACTTGTTATAAACATAGAATTGGGCTTTTTGTTATGAGTACTCTAATTAATAACCTTAACATTGTCTAAAATAAATTTATTCATTTGATATAAGAAAGATTCTAACAAATTAAGTACTCCAAATGATACTCGTGGACAATTTTAACTCATTCTCAACTCTCATTAATCTTAACCCATTCATCAATAGTTCATAGTTTATAATTATGTAGCCAAGTTAAATATATTAAAAACGACAGAAACATCTTTAACATCAATAATGCAAAACGTAACAACTATACTCCACAGTAGCATCACCGTTCTTGGCATTAAAATATTTTGTCCGAGCTTCAACATAGCCTCTAGCAAATCGGAAAAGCCCACTTCCTCCGACGATCGGCATCTCTCTGACCTCCGACAACGCCGTGTTCCGACCAAGAATCGTGATCGTGCTTCCATTATATTTCCCTGTCTTAAAAACAAAATTCATAGTCATCAAAAACCCTAACTCCTTTTGGGCCGCTCCAGCGTAAAAGCCTTGAGCTTGGCCTAAAACCGTGGAGTTCGTCGGAACTTTCGCCGTTAAAGCGTTGTCGATCATAGAGATTCCTCCGAAGTATGTAGTAGAGTTTTTAACCGGTGGCTGAATCATTATGGAGGTAGGGTTTGGACGGCTTAAGATGTCTTGCCAATGGACTTTGAAATGAGTTAGTTTCTCTTTCTTGTTGAGACCAAGAAGTTTCCGGTCTATGGTTCTTGCGAAGTTTTCACCGTCATCTCCGGCGGAAGAAACGGCGGCGAGGAAGAGGACTTGGACGGCGAGGAAGAAAATGAGCTTAGCCATGTGTTTCTTGTTGTGTGGTTTTGGTATAGAACAAGAAGGTGTGTTATGTTGTTTTAAATAGGTCGAGTTTTAGAAGAAATGGTTTGTATACTATTTAATTTGTTGATTCGTTTTGATTTTTTGGATTAAAATAAGTGAGGGAGGTTGATGTGTATTCATGTGTGCAGTCTATCATAATGATTGCGTCATTGAGTCGTATGATTTACGGTGAAGTCATATTCAAAACCTTTTTGTCATTTTTCAAAAGAGAATTAGATCATTTTCCGGATCAAATTGTATCATAGTTATATTGATCCATGATACATATATATTTTATAAATTTCTACATCAAATTTCTTGATCCGAACAGATTGATCATCTCTGTTTTTGTAGACCAACAATCTAAAAAATCATATGTATTTTTTTAGAGTACGCCGATCATTATTATTGTTATTTACTTAGCACGTTGATCGATTATTAGCCCATTAGAGCATAATTAATGGTAGTTTGTTAATTCGGGGTTGTAAGTGATTTTTTTATTATAAATTGTTTTTGGGTTCTAAATCTCTAAAATTAGAATTTTTTATTGGGGTTCTAAGTATTTTGTGTATTACTTAATTGTTTTTAATTTTTTAGAAACCCATTAAAAACTACTAAACACTACCATTGATTATGCTTTTAATAGATTAAAAAATGGTTGTATTTTTTACTTTACTTTACTTTAGTCCATAGACATGTGGTAATGGTTGTCATTTTCTTTGCAGTATTTTTCGCGCTTTTGCATTATTCTTTTTTTCTTCTTTACTTCGAAAAAGTATTCACTCCATACCTTTTTTATAAATAACAAAATATAAAATGCCATTTTGATACCTTTTTCGTCCAATAATGAAACCCTTACGCAATTTATATTTAAGTAATTTAAAATCCTGGTTATTGGCAAAAGAAGTTATTGAATTTTGTCCTACTTTACCAACCAAGTGTCCAAGTCTACCAATATCAGCATGATCGGTAGTGCATAGTGGTAGTGCTGAATTACACTAAATGGTATATTGTACAATGCAATCCTTGTAAGTTTAATATGATCGTTTCAACATCCGAAGAGAAGTAATGAAAGCCCTAAAGAGAAACAAATTATTTAAAGTTGTCATTGTCTCGTGATCTTGTTGACATGGACATTTCAATTTGATGTCTAATAGTAATATATCATGTTTCTCACTTATGTTTTCTGAACGTTCTTAGC